GGGTGAAGTGGAGAAAACTACCGAACCCAAAGGTACAACAACATCAGTATTGAGAGCTTGAACCCTCATCATTTGATAAAATCCAGAGCTGTGAACAACCTAAAGCAGTCCTCCTGGGACAAAACTATATACAGAGAGAGCTCCTTCTGTGCATCACATTCAATAGATTCTACTGTTCTTTTTGACTATGAGACTGTTCTAACTGATGTTATTTTCTGTGAAGCTGTCATTTACATAACCACAATCTCCCACTGCTGTTAAATGTATTAGACTGTGTGCACATCGCTTGCCTTAACATCCACTGGGGTCATGCAAAGCACATCTTTTATGTGTGGGCCTGTTTATAAAAGGATGGCAAACCTAACAACAATAATGGCAACAGCATCTCTTAGTTTACAGTAAAATACATTTTTAACACCATTCATTGTTGCACCAGTAAGAAAATTGAAAAAGCAAGGCAGCCAACATCAGTCTAATTAAAAGTGTAGTATAAGCTAATGGCAAGTTTGTGCTCTCTGGAGTATATCAAAAGCTTTTCACCAGAATAATGGAAAGATCAGACTCGAAGCGGTTTTTAAATTACAGGTAAAAAATGCAGACTACTACATACTAAATTAGAAATAGCTGCCATTAGGGCCAAGATACTCTCTCTTGACACTGCAGTAGAAGAGTGCCTGATGTATTATTCTCTGTGTTTAACTCCTGTTTCCTCTCTCTTCTATAGTTTCATTTTCTGTGGTGGTTAACTAAATTATCTTGCTTTCTCTGCAAGTGAGGTGTCTGATAAGGAGCCTCACCATTCTCACTCACGGCAGCCTCAGAAACAGCGAGCAGCTGTCCTCTGCGCTGAGAGAGAGCAGCAGAGGTGTTAATGCAGCATCAGCCACTGGTGGCTGGATGACAATCACGTCTTTGACAAGCTGAGGTCTGCCATACACGTGCCTCTCTTCGTGTTCATTTCAGCCCTGCCTATTTGCCAAGACGCAGAAAAAAGCCCATCGGTGCAAGACAGATACTTTTCCAAGTATTACCGAAAAGGTATAATTACCCTTTCAAAATATTTTCAGTGTTTAATAACTATATTTTAGTTATTTAGGACCCCAGTTTTGTGCAACAAAAAAATCTAAAAAGAGGGGGGAGGGGGAGCAATGTGTCTAGAATGTCAGATATTTTGTCGGATGTAAATTAAAAAAACGATAAAAAAATTCCAGATAAACTACCCAGAAATACGGTGAAGTTTGTCATGTATTCAGGAGTGTCAAATGTATTGTACCGCATTTCCTTAGTGTCTGCCTGTAAACATCAGTCACATTAACCTTTAATTCTGTCATGGAGACTTATCTTCCACTGCGAAACACTTTGGACTCTCTCACTTCTTAACATCTTCCTTGACTTGTTAATAACACGTGAACAGGGTTAACAGTAAAACAGGGTTGCTCTTAAATGTAGCACAGTGGCACAGTGGTTGGCAATGCTGGGGCCCTGGGATTAATCCCTGTGGTGCTGTCTGCGAGGAGTCCGAATGTTCCCCCTCGGTTCAGATGGGTTTCCTCCCACAGTCCAAAGACATGCTGAAGACATATACATGTGTGTGTATCTGTGTGGCCTGCATTGCGACCCTGCGACCCTGTATGAACACATTGGTCAGAAAATGAATGGATGCATGTTACACTCGCATGTGTGGTCTTAGCGTCTCACCACCTACTCTGGGGTGTTAATTTTATGAAGATGCATGTCTTGAAGTACACTGGACACCATGATCTACGCCGTCACCTAAAAGTGTTCTGCATGTTGTACTGTAGTTTGCCGAGCTTTTGCAGCTGTCAAAGTTGCCAGCACAGAAGACAGTTCCTTTGAGTGGATGTGCTGTTAACACTGTTTGCATCAATTTACAGAGAGAATACAGTGCATACAAAGTACAATCAGATTAGATTAGTTCAAAAGTTCACCCAGAAGTTAATCATTCAGCTTAAACATAGCTTTTTTCAGGGCTGCACAGCTGTGGAGGTGGGGGTATCAGCTGTAAAGAAACAAGCTTCTATACAACAACAGGTTCATTTTTCCAATGTCTAGTATAACCCTCACTCAGCCTCATGTTTTTAAAAACAGGAATAAATAAGAAAAACAAAGGTTTGAAGGAGAATGGGTTTTGATTTTGACATCATGCATGCTGTAGGGAGAGGAGACATCACAAGACACTATTGATCCCCCTTCCTCCCTCTGTGTACTTTCTGAAGACAAACCAACACTATGGCCACATGCTATCAGAGTTGCATTGCACAGGGGCCTAATTTCCCCCCCTTTAATCCCTATACTATTCATACTATTGTGGGGTAATCACTTGTGTGCTGTTTCCAGAAACGTTAACATTACAGAAAGAAACTAGTAACGTTTCAGGCTTCTCACCATGACAGACACATAAGAAAAGATACTTTCTTCCTGTTATTAAAGCAGGGCTGGGAAAGCCTGGAGCCAGAAGGAGGGAATATCTGCAGGTTTTCATTCCACCTCAGCTCTGAAATCAGATTGACTTATTAATATCTTTTGGGACCAGTTTAACAACTTTTCCCAGCTCAACAGGTACTGTTGCTTTGAGGAGCCAGAGAATATGCACACAGGACCAGGACTGCCCACACCTGCTCTAAAGCGGGGCTTCCCAACTCAAAACATCTGGGCAACTCTGGCCGTTCAGCCAGTGACAGCTTCCATGAGACTGCTAAGAGTTGTGCTGGACTGAAAACCTGTAGCACTGAGCCCTTCAGGACAGGGACTGCAAATCCCTGCTCTAGAGAACTGCAGGGTAGCAGAGCAGTCACCGAAACCCAGAGCGAACCAACAAAATACTGAATGAGGAAGAAAGACTTTTTGCATGCAGTCTGATGTGTGGGCGTCGGAAATGTGTAGGATGAACACGTTTGCATTAATAAAAAAAAAATTAAAACTCAGTAATTTTCCCATGCAGAATTACATTTTTAAAATTTAAAGAAAACTAATAGATATAATATTATCAACATAGGACCTGGCTTAAATTTGTCCATCCAGCTAATATTACTATGGATCAATGCAGAACATTTTCTTCCATCTTATCTACATATTTAATTTACTTTTAGGGTATGAAAAAAAAAATCAGTACTTCAAAAGTGTCCCCGGTTTTATGTTTAAAGGTATGTCATCTACAGGTTTCATACCAGCTCACTCTGGGCTTAACTGGACCAGGTTAGCAGTTCCTCTCAGCTCTTTATGTGGAATAAAGAGACTTGGAAAACCTGCAGAAGCACAGACGCTCAAAAGACCACAATTAGGGATCTCTAGTCTAAAAAGATACATGAAATCCAAAGTGAAAAAGAAAGTGGTCCTGAGGAAGAACACAGGAGTGAACGATTTAAAGGTCAGTTCAATGTGCATATGACGAGCATCAGACAGAGATCAAGCGATCTTATTACATGTGCATAGACTGGGAGTGCACAGCTCCAGTTCTGAAGGGCAAGAAGCTCTTCCGTCCTTATTTGATTAACTGGACTTATTTGAAAGAGGCCTATAAACCCTGCTGGACAGCAACCCTTGAAGACCAGCTGGGCCCCTGGCATAAATAATACAGTATGTTTCAGGTTTAAGTCAAGGTTTTTGTTCCAATAACTGGGCCTTTTACCTTTGACCCATTTTCCTGCAATATCAAAACCTTCCCTGAGTATTTTTGTGACATGAAGTATTACCGATCATAACCCACACCAAAGACGAACACTTTCTTTAGTTTAAAGTAGGACTTATACAAAGTTTTAAACATTGATCATTACTTCCAAAGCCTGGACTAACAATACATTTCTGCTTTGGAAGTTTGCAATTCACAGAATCATTGCAAATCCCTAGACAGACCTGCATTGATGAGAGATTTTTGCTGCCCTCTTTTGTATCTCTGACTTACTACTAGACACACTCCAAACATCAGATCTAAAGCCCCACTGCAAGTCTGTAGAGGAGGAGCAGTGTACATAAAACTAGTTGGAACAAATTGCCACAGAAAAAGCAGAAATTTAAAATAACTCAGTACTGCTTAGTATTGTTTTGTTCATGGTTCTGTTTCTATGTTGATGTTTTTTTTACAAACACCCACAGACATACTGGGGAAAAGGTTGGGTAAACATTTTCAACTCCACACTCATTTAAGGGAAATGACTTTCAAACTTAACACTGTGAAGGGTGATTAGTATGGTGATTAGAGGCAGACAGACCCTAAAATGCTATTAGCCTGTCAAATTAAATAAGCATAAGTTATTATATGCTTACCGTTTAACACTGTTTTATGAAAAGGTCTGCAGTATTGTAGATCCTTAATCATTTTATATAGAATTCATATAATTTTTAAAATGGTCAGAAAAAGGGGGACTTGTTTTCACATCAAAATGCATTTGCAGCATTTTCACATTGAAATGACAAATTTTGCACGACTGGCATTTTCTTGAGCGTCGTGCATGATGTGGCCAGATGCAGATTATTTGAGACCAACTCTGTGTAAAACAGACCAAATGTCAAAACCAGGAAAGGAGACTCCTCCTTTTTAGTTCCTTTCTGTGCCCTGAAGGCAAGTGGAAAAGAAACTGTGCAGAACCTAGTCACTAGGTCACTGAAAGTAATTCAAGACCTCAGCTTCTGCATTAATATTTAAAGACCACTTCTATCTTTTGCAGCTTATTTTACACTGCATTGAACTCAGAGCCAGGGATGGTTTCCAATCCAAATTCAGTTTAGCTGTGCAGATAAACCTGTGACAGGGGAGAGAGAACAACTTCTCAACTTAACTGCGTATTAATTTTGCTAAAGAAGTGATTAAATGAAATAATTTGATGCCAGCTATGTTTTCCTTGGGGGAAAAATACAAGTTTTTTTCTTTGCATGAAGTGAAGTGATGGTCAGACAAAACAGCAAAATAAATCCTATACAAAAAAAACAACAACTGGAGGACAGATTTACCCAATATGATAACAGAAAAAAAAACAGTCACCTTCCTCTTAAATTATTTTAATTTGTGTACACTAAAAGTAAAATTTACACACTAAAGTCTGAAAAGAACCTGGGCATGCATATTCACCTTTTTACAGGCTCCTCAGTGTATTGTTTTTCCATAGGAATTTTCCTCTTACATTTACAGTCCATAGTTTTACTGTACACAGCCTAAAACCACAGCGAACTATGATTACATCCATCTTACCTTTAAAATGTGCAAAATCCTCATTAAAACAAGTACAGTGGTAAAAAGAAAGAGAGAACAAAAATGCAAAACACCTGTAACATTATCAGCTCGTAACCAGAGACAACGACGCAATAATTGGTCCCTCATTCCCTGTCATTTGAGTTGATTATCATCATCATAAACTTCTTACATTGATTTCTATTTATCATTCCAGACCAGTGGCATGAACCAGAAATGAAAAAAACAAGCCCTTATGAAAGGAGCACTACTGATAATGGCTGCATACAGCCATCTGCTAATGCCAGAATGTGAAGAGGCAAGCAGCTACTGCTCATAAATATTAAGCCTGGTCCTTAATGAACAAAACCATAAAGACAGAACGTGAACAGATTTCTTCTTAAAAAAAAGGATAAGGATAAAATCTACACGCAGTAAAAGAAACATAAAACTTAAGGAGGCGGGAAACATTCACCTGGATTTCGCAGGCAGTGCGGCTTTCAAGTTGGTTTTTTAAAATCACACCTTCTAGGAAGCATGTGAACCAGTGTTTTTGCTCACAAAAGAAACTTTTACAGCCCCCCCAGCACAGCAAAAAAAAAAAAAAAAGAAGAAAAATCTTCCAAAAATGTTGATCCCTGATTATTTACAGATTGATTCTACTAATATAAACATGACTTTTAGGACTTCAGTATATAAATAAATATACATTTTTATTAATATTCTATTTATAGCGTTTCCAGAGATACCGGTCAAGAAATCACCTTGAATGCTTAGATATTTCAGGAAGTGGGTAAGGATTTATTAAAAGTACTATAAAAGCGGTGGGGCGGCTGCGTCAGTCCGCGGGCTCCTGCTGTGTGCTCAGCGGGGTGAGGGTGGCAGGGAACATCAGCACTTTGGCCTGCATGAACGACAGGTCAGGGAGGCTGGCGATCACCTTGGCCGCCTCCTCGCTCAGGTTCTCGTCCTTCCTGGGCTTCCTACAAGGAGAGCAGTGAATGTTAACACTTGATGTCTCCTTCTGTTCATTTATTATTCCTTTATTTTGTCTCCCAGTGTTTACTTCCCTCTGAATAGTGGAAAGAATGTTGCAGTCCCTCAACAGATTTGAGGACAACTGTCTGCAGATTTCTCCATCAGGGATGGCTCCACCTAGTGGTGCAAAATCTACACTGAAAGACAGCTGCAGTCCTTGCACAACTGAAGTGGAGACTTTTTTTTTTAAAAAAGAAAGATTAGGATCTTCAGTTATTTTTGTTATTCTCTTCAGATTGGAACAGGCAATGTGTGTTTTTCATGGCCTTTGGCTCTCCTACCTTCAAGCCATTCTTGTAACACACCACAGGCTACACAGCCCTGAGCTGGGAGTCCCTCACAGACCACGCCATACACCTGCAGAGCCCTGGCCTGCCCTCAGCAGCTTTGTTTACCACTAATGACTACGAGGGAAGTGCCTGTTGTCAAGCCCACAGAATAAACTGAAGTATCCAAAATGAAGTGTGTTAACTCCTGTAAATTAATGGAATTCTACATGAAATGGTCTCACAGTCACAGAGTTTAGGAATTTCATAGGATACTGATGCAGAACTGGTGTCTAAACTTCTTTTGAAATGATCTATGCTTGTATACAACTCAAGTAGAATAGATTTCAGCTATTTCTAATGTAGAACATAAATTAAAAAAAACTTCCAAAAACACTGTTAAGTGTTTTTTCAGTAGACACTGCACAGTAGAGATTTCTTCTAAATGTGGAGTCTTGGGAATAAGCAGTGAGATGTGGTTTCAGGTATACCTTTACAGAAGGGGTAACAGAAATGGACACAGAAACAACAGATTGGCAGTAAAGATAAGTGAGATATGAATAAAAGAAAATCTAGTGCTTTCTCTCTGACTGAAGGCAAACTCTCTTCAGGACAACTTCGTCTAAAGCATTTGTTCCACCTTTAAAATTAGGAAATGCACAAATTGAAATCCCCAATATTTATTAGAGTAAGGAATTCATTTTCATTACTGCCAGATATTTGTCATCATTAAAGCTGAAGGCGATACTTTAAAAGGTGGAAGGAACAACTGATTGCGAAGGGAGGTCAAAGCAGGTGCTGAATTGCCGACAGACCCAGCCATGGAAATCCGCAGGGACTGAGGGGCCCCTGTTCCCGAACCTGCGGCCACACGTTTCTGCCCACACTGCCTCCCCAGGTCTACCTTGCAGATGTGCTCGTCTTGTCCACCGTGGACATCAGCCTGGCGAAGGCGTCCACCACGCGGCTGGACGTGCTGCTGCTCTCCAGTTTAGCGGTGGTCAGTTCGTAAAGCTCGGGGTCCACACCTTTGCAAAGAGGCAGGCAGTCAGAATGCAAATTCGACACATTTGATAGCTTGCAAATATTTTTTTGGGTGTTCATTTTTTTTTTTTACGAACACCTTAGCAAAACAAAACTGCAAGGGTTTCTGTAAACATCTGGCCAATGTTAAAAGCACAGACCCATCATGCTTTCTGCCATAATCTCCATCAAGACAGTGGGAGCTCAGCAGTTTCTGGTACTCTATTTTATAGGAGAATAAGAAAAATGGAACCACGTGGAATACAAGCCATGGAGGAAGGGGAAAAAAAGCAAATCACATGCAATAAAGGAAGATCCATGGTCAACAGATCAGACGAAAATATTAACCCAAATGCCTTTGGTGTCTTAATCTGGATGCCTCTAGTATGGGAAGAAAGATAAATTGTACTTACATAAGAGGAGTATTTCCACAGTGGATCTGGAGGTCAACCCGCCAGATTTCAGACCCCAAGAAATAGGAAAGATCTATCTGGACCATATAAATACATCTAATTCTCAAAAAGAAGAAGAAAGTCGAAGTGGTATTTTAAAGAAAAAAAAAAGGTTGATCCTTCCATATTCCACTTGCTTGTTTTGTCCATACTTTCTTTTTAGGAAAAATGAATGCCTTTTGAAAATGGGACCATCAAAAGTGAATGTGAGTATGATTAATGTAGCACTATGGAAAATCTTCCATAATTACACAGATGTTTGCATTTTTCTTTTCCCTGTGCACTGAGACATATCACAAGGAACCTGGTGTTATAAGATGCTTCCTACACCAACATTCCATTCTGAATACAATCAGAAAGAGAGGGGAAAATGAATGGTGTGCTTTATAACAATATAATACAGGACTCCTGGAACTTCATTGTAGATACAAAATATATCTTCTTTATTGCACCCAAGAAGAATGAATCTCCTTGCGGTTTATGATAATGACCCAAAAATTGTCATCCAAAAACTCACATTTACCATCCAAGAAAATGCTCCTTATTGAGATATCTCTTGGATTTCCGAGGGTATTCAATGTGCAATTACAAAGATTCTTTATTGATAAATGAACACTAATTTCTTGTGTTAAGACGTGTGTGCGCATGTTCCCTTTTGCGTACAACTACAGCATTAACCATTAAAATCTCAATTAAAAACAACTTCACTGGGAGAAATGGTCAATTGATTGAGAGTTCCTCTCTAGTTCTCAACACTTAAGAGGAATGGCACCAAATTTTCATGTACAGCAGTTTCTTTTAACGTGACAGATGTTTACAGAACAGCACATATGCAGTTTTAATTTAGAATGCAGGCATATTAATATAAAACTGTCCATTAGACGTCTATATTCAAACTTATGCTATAAAGAAAAACATAACCTATGACAGACCCCATGAAGGTGCTTTAATGAAAGGAAATGAAATGTTTTAGTTGTAGTTCTTGCAAAAAACACTTTTTGAATAGACTGTCATAACATGTTTGTACCCAAGGAGATATGATTGCTTTCAGTCACTGAAGGCAATCCTGAACAACCAGTAAAATGGGTGACACAAGAAAAGACTGGATATACTGAATTTATTTAAACCAAGAGGCAGAGCCCACAACGGTTTCACTCTGTAATATGGCTTCGGTATTTGTGTTACTGATTTAAGAAGTTAGTAGGAAATCCAATGAAAGTAAACTCAAAAAAGAAAAAAAAACTTAAGACAGGGCACATCTAAAAACTGAAAAAAAAGTTTTATTATGCATGTATTATAATTTGTACTTAACGTGTAAGCCTACATAAACACCTCAACTTCATGAAAAGGTAATTGGCTAAATCTTCACAAGACAACCTAAAAGGATATAAAATATTCTGCATTTGTAATCTACATTTAGAATGAAGACAAAAATGTCTGTGTCATGGCAACCATTTCTTTCAGAATGGGTTACTTGGAAAATACTGATCACTGGCCTGGAACCTTGATGGGGTCTACCACTGGAAAACCTGAAATACAGCAACTACCACTTTGTCCAAAAACACAACCCACGTTAGTACACATGAAGCACACGGCACAGAAAAACACAGAAACGATTCTAAGACGAAGGCAAGGCTTCTCCAAAAACCAGAATGAACAAATAATCCCAGTTTGCATGTGGGTACATATACAGTTGCAGACTGAATTGTACTGGCATCCTACAATATTACTCATGAAATATTACTCTTTAGACAATAATTGCTTGACCCTTCCTACACTTATTGAACACTCATCCATCTTCGTAGATAGTAAAGATTGCTAGTAAATTAATGTTTCCCTTATTTTCATGATTTCCTACACATCCATAGAGTTATAGAAATTAGTATTTCAGTGACCAGTCTTACAAATTAGCTTATAGTTGAAATTGGTCAATAAGAACAATAACATTTACTTTTCATCTCTACCTGCATTTGATTTTTTTTACTAGACCGAGATATTAAATACATGGTCACAAAGAACTATAAATTATTAAAATTATTGTTAATTAATTTGATTGACACTCTGTGCCAAAACTGACTTACATTTTTTCCCCAATTACATTAAATACAGTTGTACTTTCACCTTAGGAAATTACAGGAAGATGCCTTGATTTGAACTCATAATTTTCCAAGCAGAGTCCAGTCTCCTCCTCCCGTTTTCATTCTTCCTCTGATTTTCATGACTTAATTTAACTAATTATAAGAACAATCTGCCTCTTAGGGTCTTAGTCAGCCAGTCAGTCAATTCAGAGATGCCTGTAAATACACACAGCTCCAGGCCTCCCAAGGTCTGTGGTACCTTTTTCTGGCTACAGAGATCTGACAAATAAGGAAAGGTCCACCGACACAGGTCCAACTTCGACTGCTTGATCCACACAGTGAAACACTGCGCATAACAAAATCCAATAAGCTAACGCATCACAGATGAACTCCTCGACTATTCATCTATTTTTTTACTGCTAATGTTTTTCCTCGAGCCTGCCAGAAGGCTGTGCTCAGTAGCGCAGGATGCACAGTATCACCCTGCCTGGCTGCCCCCTTGCTGTGTGGTGCCTGGGGAGCCCCCGCTGGTTTTTGAGCAAGCCTTGCGTCAGATAAAGTGACCTCAAAGAGTCAGCAGAGCAGGAGCTTGTTAAGAGCTGAGAAAGCCGTGGCCGAACCACGCTGCTGACCTGGGATAGTGGTGGTGCTGCTAGAGCTAGAGTCATCCACGGGCCCAAAGAAATCGAGGTTCAGAAGAGTGGAACCCCCGCTAGCTTGAATTTCAGTGACCGTGTCGGAAGACAGCCATAGAGAAGATATGCCAGGGCAGGGGGTTATTTGTAAAAAGGGGTAAGACACATACTTGAACATGCAGGTTATCATTAGTAAGAAAAGACTAGGCTGTTAATTAAAACAATCTACAACAAGCTTTCAGTAGTAGTCAGCGATACTTAGGTTAGGCGCAGAGTAAAGTCAAAATTGTATTAATATAAATTTAAGATCATAGACAAAGCATAATGTGATTAAATACTAAAGATTTGCTTTTTACAAGAATTTGCATTTATTGCATCAGTTATGCAGCATTTCCATGAATAGATCGAAGATTTACGTAATTAATGTGACATTAAAGGGAAACAATTTAATATGAAACAAAAACCGTAAACCTTTAAGACTTAGAAACTTTATTTAGAGGTTACGCAAACAGATTAGTGTATGAAATATAGTTCCCCTTTAATTGTAAACAAAAAAATATACAGTTAAAAGATAAGTTGTTAAAGAGAACACACAGCAAGTTTAACACACACGACAAGAGCAAGAGTCCATCCAGGCTTTCTTTCATAACCTGTATCATCTCTTGCAGAGCATCTACAATTCTCTTTCAGTAGTCAAACAGTCAAACTTGGTTTTTGTTGGAAGGTCTTCTGAAAAACCAAGGTTGTATCTTAAAGGCTATGAAATAGATAAGCTTGATAGGAATATACTGAATCCTGTCTTTTCTTGTTTTGATTTACTAATTTTGTACCCATGAAACGTTATGTGGCCAATGTAATATTTTAAAAAGAAACTAATGCTTTTACTGCTTGCACAACTCATAAATTGAACAAAATAACACCTCAACCAAAAACTATTCCATAAACTTCTTGTCCAGCCTAGTGGTGATTACATACACTGCTGTGCAAAAGTCTTAGATAATTTGCATTTAGTCTTTTCCCTCATTTTTTTTCCTTTTTAATGAATCAATTCAACATTGATCTTCTACTGAAGTTGTAGCTATTTGTTTTCAGACAGCTGATAGATCTGTGTTCTGGGATATAAAAAGTAACCTTTTAGCTTTATGGAAGTCTAGAGAGTAACCCATGATGCTAAGGACAAGGAACATTTCATAATGAGTAATTAGACCGTGAAGGTTAAAGTGATGTACTGGCAACATACCTGGTACTCAAATATAGCTTATCTTGCATTGTGAATTCTAAGAAATAAAGAGTTAAAGATTTCTAAACGACAAGTCTAATTTCTTTTTGTCTAAACTAGGCTGAATTCATACCAGTCCCAGCTTTTATACCTATTCTTCTCTAGAAGGCTTTGAGTAAACTGTTGATGCTCATAACTTGCATATATTGTATCTATTGGTGGTATCTAACAAGTCCACGGCTTTTGCACAGCAGTGTTTTATAAACCTTAATTTTTATTAACTGTTGAGCAATAAGGAAATAAGTGGGGCATGAGGTGAAGAAAGAAAGCCTGAATTTCCACAGTGGAAGAGTAAGAAATGAAACGTCAGCAGAGAGAGTTCTGTCTGAACTGGGTTGCTTTCTTAACTCTAGCCCTGGTGCTAGAGGCTCTACGGAGAGACGTACCATCTAGAGGGTTAGTAAGGCCACTGCTACTCCAGTCAAACTGGACGGGTGGGAGGGTCTCCTGCAAGGGAACAGCAACACGGTGTTAGTGCCGCGGAGCTGTCTGGAGCCGCCCTGCGCTGCGTGCCTGATGCGCCACTGGAACGGAAAAATAAAATCTCTCGGACAGGAAAAAAAAAAAAACAAGACTGAAATCTAAAATTGCGGGGACTATTAGGGAAACATCAGGTTTAGCAGGATTGGGTCGCATTTTTAATATTTCTAGACAAGCGGAGGGTAACATCGTTCGAAAAATGACATGAATGTGGTGCACCCAGATGTTTTTGTTATCATCGCCATGATACACTCATAATGTTAGAGATCCATCCTGAACAAGGCCTGTTCTCAGCAACGATGGTTTCACTGGCCACGTTTCACTTACTTCTCCTTTCCCTTTGAAAAACCAAATATGCCTTCCTAACAAAATATATTTTGCATTCAGTTTTCAATTTACATCTCGACAAAGCTTTTCTAGCTGCTTTACACACACTGGCCAAAAAATTTCTTCTAGCACAGAAGAAGGAGAGTCCCAGTCACACTCCCAGGGCTGTTCTTTATAGCATGTGTATATTGAGCAAACTACACTACATATTTACTTCCAGAAGATGGCTAACAAAAAGAGCTCATCTAGACCATTAATCATAGGATATGAATCTAATGCACTTTCCTGAAATATCCCAGTTCACATCAGCCCCAGCCCCTCAAGCTGGTTAATGACTCTCTACTGGCAATTAATAGTGATGAACGTTTTCACAAGCATGCTTGTTTCTGATCAGCACTGTCATTCCTACTTACCAAGTCAGAAATAGATTTAATGTCGTATTCTAAGAACTATTCGTGACTTTTGAGTGCTTTGTACCGTCTTCCTTCAGTAGTCTGATACACATACTAAACGTTCCAAACATGTTGATGGCCTGATAGTAGGTTCTATGAAACAAGCAATCGTGATTGACTTTACCTGAAAAGGGCTCTTGAGTATAGCGCAGGATGGACTCTAAGATCCAGTTGCTACAGGTTCAAGCCTAGGTTATGTCATATCAAACAGTTAGCCAAGGTCTCTTTTAAATGGGGGTGTGCAGTTTTTCATACCTGGGTTTGATCAGCACTCATTTCTGGGGACACAGGAGGGGCTTGTGCTATTGAAGCAATCTTCTCTGCAGCTGAAATTGGTTTCACAGGTTCTTTGGTGGGCTCCAACATACCCTAAAAATTAAAGAACAAAATGGGATGTTTGTTAAGCATCTAAAGGCTCTTTAAAGGTTTTCTTAGAACTGATATACCTTACAACAGCTCTGATAAGAAGAGCTCTAAGAAGCTGTTGCACTACCACTATTCGGTGGGCAAACTTAAGGGTCTAGCTTAACATTCACAACAGCAAGCCACTCTACACCCACTCTGTTGACTGAAGTCCCTTCTCTGATGGATCATCTCACAGATAGTTTCTAAAATGTTTCAAGCTGTTATAAAAACTGAGATGGATATTCAGATAAAAACCTGACTATCCAGCAAATGGAAGAAAAGAAAACAGAATTCAATATTAAGATCTCAGAACCTCAATTTATATGCATTTCTGAAGCACAACAGCATTTGCTGTTGTTCTAAATTGAGTCAAATTGCTTTAATTTTAGGATTTTTGCAGCAAAATTATATTAACAACCTTCAATCTGAGGTCAGACTCCAGAAAAATAAAATACAATTAGCATGGACCAAAATCAGCTTGAACAACACAACTTATTTTAAAAAATGATGCCTTGTGGGCAGCAAAACTAAAAAAGGGAGCAAAACTGAAAGGGAGACGAAAACTGCTCTGTGGGATCCACTGCATGCAAGCCTAACAGTGTGCAGAAACAAGGACTCACCAGACTAGCTGCATACATGGGTACTATGACAGGTTGCTTCTTCTGCCCTGTGAACAGCTAAGAAATAAAACACAGGGTTGATGCTAGTGACAGAATTCAATGACAGCAACGTAGAACAGGACATGCATAGGGAAACTTGTAACATACGATACAGAAAACCACATTAAAAAGGCTGCTCCAAGCAGTTTAGAAAGGCTAAAATCCTCTTATATGTTTAGAACTGTTGTTTTAGAAGCCATAAAATACTTAATTCAGAAAACACGGTTGTATACATGATCCCCCAAAGAGAGTGGCATTTGCAAAAAAAAAAAAGATGCCATGTTCCTTAAAAGATACCTCGGCACTTTGCCTACATATCACACAGCACTCAAGAAGCTTCTTTGCAATGTCCAGTACAAACAGATGGCTTGCACTCAAAGCCAAAGCAGGCCAGACACCGGGTTTTGCCGTCCCCTTACCAAGTGAAAAGAGCCCTGGACTTACTATGTTCCTAGTGTCGATCCCCAGGGAGCAGAGCAGCTTTTTGTTGCTGTGGGAGCCACCCCACTGGTACCTCAGTCCATAGGCATCGTGGACGTCCTGCAGCTCCCTCCACACGTACAGCAGCTCCCTGCGCAGCCACCACACATCACAAGGCACACCGTCACAACACGGCATCATGTGACCCAACCACCCCGGCTCACAGAAGCGCACCGACTCCCACCCGGCATTCCATTAGCCAGGGTCTCCCCCGCCCCCCCCCGCCGCGGATTAAAAATCAGCACAGCCCTTTGAGCTCAAAAGCCAGGCCCTTGACTGGCTGTGGGAACAGCAACTACAGACAAACCCATCCTCATCGCCTGCAGTAGAAGGGACAGAATCAGTGCTTCCTATAGTGCACATGACACTATGAAGTGCCGTTATCATTGCACGACTGCAAGTTAGTGAGAGGCGTCTGGGCTCCAGCTCCATGGATCTCCTGCTATAGTGGTGAATGTTATAATTCAGCATTATATCTGTCTGCAAAAAAGTGTTTTTTTTTTTTCATTTTAAGCAAGATCCTTTAAACTTTAGCGTCGGCAATCACATTGCAAAAGTTATCTAAACATTTCTACGAGTTTTATGATTTTAAAATGTAAAATGAGCTGACAAGAAGGCAGGAAAAGCAGTGTGTTCTTTCAAGTTGCCCATATGGATGGATAATATATTCATCTCAGTATTGCTGAAGATTGGTTCCTCATTATGGCAAATGTAACACCATCCTCTGTAGCTCTGTTTAGAGTGAAATGTGACATTAATGACAAGAGGGGGTAGGAGGGTTACTTTACAGTAAGCAATCAAAGCTGTTCCAGCATCCAGAAATGAAGAGGACCCTCACCCGTGTGGCGTTAAGGTCTTGTCCGGCTCGGATGGCCGCTCCCCTAGTTCCAGCAGGGTCTTCAGAGAAGGGATGTCTTCATCGGCTTCGGGAACGGGCGCTGAATGAAAGCTTGCTTGGAAAAGTCGCTCCAGGCGACTCACCAAAGGCGCCTACAGGAGACAAACACAAGCCTTATTGTTGCTGTGCGTCTAAGCCCGGTTTATTCTACATGCTTTAGAAACATGTGAGATAACTGGCTCAGGGATGCAGGAATCCTCGTGTGGCCTTGAAGCAACTTGGGGCAGAGGCTGGTTGAAAAAAGAAACAAATTTAAACAGGCTACAGAAAACGGGCTGCAAAAGGAGAAAACACCAAAACATAAAAACCAGGAGGGACATTTAACCATGTTATCATAACAAAAAAAGTAAATGCTGTTGATGGAAATCACAGGTCTACTCTTTACATAAAGGATATGGATACATGTCTTTTTTTTCCTTGAAGGGATGGGAATACAGAATATTCAAATTACCATACATACTGAAACAAACAGATAAAGCACTTAAAGTCTCAGTTATATTGATGGTATTAATTTTAAACTGCAACTTAAATTTCTTCTCCACTGACAAACTGGTATTAAAAACTGAATCCCTGCTCCTAATTCCATCGCAATAGCATTGTAATTCAATACAATTAAGGGATCACTGTAGGATTTGTATGAACCACATGGAGGAATAATTGTCACAACCTGTTAAATTCATTCAGGGGAATGACACAATCTTCTTCTGATACAAGGGGACACAGAAAAAGCAAAATGGCGATTCCATTACAAATTTGGGAAAGATATAAAAAAAGCCCAGTAGTATTATAATAGAGAATAGAAGATTCGCTATTCTCTGAACTACTGTAACCATTTACAATTAAAAAAAAACAGAGAAATTAAATACTTACAGAACTGAATGACCACAGAGGATGTCCCTAAGGAACACCAAGTCTGTATTTACAGTACCTTCACAGCTAAAAGAATGCACCACGCTGGGTCAACTGTCTGCACTGTGCTGCTAAAGCTTGTATTGCCAGCAGAGAGAAAGCAGGCATCGATGGACAGAGAATTTAGAAATAACATGAGCAGAACAACGAGGCCTCCTCCTGGGCCTGATTGCAGCAGAGTGCTTGAATACAGTAAACACTAAAACCTGCACTACAGCTGACTGACTATAGGACCCTGCTGTACTAGAAACCACTGCAAGAACGACTGCATCTGTCATGACAGGACTGACTCAGGGCTTCAGAAACAAACAGCTGTTTCAATGTGTGTAGACTGTGAACAAAAAGTGTTAGATTTTGGACTTAATCCATTAAAAGATGGAAAAGTGCCTGACATTGTGAGGATGATGATCCTCACTCCTGGTGGAGGTGCAGTAGCCCCAAGGAAAAGCTATTGAGAATAAAAACCAGTAAAAAGTATGGCAGTGCAACAAGACGGGCTGTGCTACCAATTCACCTTTGCTTTAGCTGTTTCACAGCTACGTATTAATTTAGTAGCAGCACTAGAAATATCACTAGTTTTTCAGTTAACATAAATAGAAGTGTTTGATTATTCAGAGACCCGAGCCAACTTTAAACAAAACCCTTCTGTCATCGGTGCCAAAAGAAAGGGGACTTTGCTCTGTTCTGCTACCACATTGTGTAACAGGTAGACAAAAGAGTGACCAACTGCTCCCATAGAAAGGATAAAGCAAGCAGGCTGAGTAGACATTGAATACGCTGCACAGAGTCAACACTGTAGATTTACACAAGTGACAGATAATCCTTTTTGGAAGGACTCCATAACAAGCAATCGAGTGAGGTACTGGCTACAGTTGGAGGGGCATTGATTAGTACAAGCTTCAAGAATCCCTTTTAAGAAAAAGATAAATCTGTGTATCTTTAGTTTCCTCCTAGCAGACTGACTAAATCGTTTTTTTAGAAAGCTCCAAAACAGTATGTGACAGGGATCTAAATGTGTTAATTAAGAGAATTTAAACACGTTTGTCAGTGAAACCCCTGGACCAAGGGAGCACACTATGTGTGATATATTTTAAAAATAATATATTTGATATGATATTTTGAAAAACGTCTAGCAAAGTTCACTGGTTGTTTGCAGTGCGTTTGGTGTCTCACAGCCTGTTGGACAACCTTTAGAATCAAAACATTCAACACTGTAATGGTGATATTTCACCACTAAGGGGCACCAATGACACTCTTAAAAAGTATGAATCTGAGAATTTCTAAAAAAAAGCCAGAATTGTTTTAAAACGTTTAAATAAGCTTTGATTAAAGCAATGGTTTGAAGTATTTGGGTTTTTTCCTTAAGCAGATTTATTTTTCTTGAGAGAACTAACTATTCACTATTAAAAATATAAGAAAGGTTAATTGGGAGAAGCTGCCATTTGGAAAATTGTGCTAATCTGTCTGGTTATAGTTTATTAATGCAAAAAGGATCTCCAAGCACATAAAACACAACAATGACAAATACAATCCGTTTACTGTAATTATATCAAAAATGCTCTTCATAGCATATCAGATACACTGACATTCTTGTTGTGCTTTTATACTAATAAACCTGAACCATCTTACCTTCAACCTACAGTTGTGCTATAAATTTGAGGGGACCACACACAGCTATAGTGAATAGGTATTTTTTATTAATTCCCTCACGCTACAAAAGTGGGTGAAATTCAAACTTTCACAGCGGCTCTATCGCAGCATCCTGGAGGCCACTGTATTGGCCATATCAATGTGATGGACCACATGGGTACAGTTATGAGTGAAAAGTAACATGCCACTCAGCACCAAGATGAGCAGATGATGAAGGCCGTTTTACTGTAAAACTCTATATTGCAGCAACAAAAAAGAAAGGAAAAGTATGCTTCAGTGTACTTGTATATGAATATGTTAGACTGTATAGTGCTTCAATGAGAGTAACGCATCCCTGTAAAATTAAAAGACAAAAAACAGAGGTGTGGCCCTTCTGCCCCCTGCCAGGACTAAGTATCTCATATTGATCTTTATATTTATTTATTTTGCAAGATAAATACAAAGATCAATGAAAATGTACTTGATAAGCTGTCACTCCATATTTGCAGGTGGTCCTCGTTTTTGCCAAATGAATGCTACATGAAAGAGAGGACTTAAGCCACCTCATCTACATGCAGAACACACTACACACCAGATGACCTAGTCATACATACCTTGTCTGTAATGCTGGATTAATGAGAACAGAATCAAATCAGAGGTTTGAAATCTTAATGTTCTGGAGATGATCCCTTTCAATGACTTCTACTTAATTAAAATATACTTTGATTAATAGTATATACTGTACTGCATAATGAAATTATTCTAATTGAATTAATCCAAAAGTTAAAACAAGTTGGTAGTGATCCACTTTTAGTGATCCAACTTTTCTAGGCACCTGAAATCACCAGTGGTTAACCAACTGTACGTAAATGATTTGCATGACCAATTAAACAACTAAACAACAGAACAGTGAAGCCAGAAAGTCCAGTAGCTTTGGAGGACAGTGAACAGCCTTCACTAACTTAAAAACAGAATACGATTTTCATCCTTTTACAAGAGGAGCTGAATTAAAACCAATATAAAGCTGAGATAAGCGACACTGACAGGCAAATTCCTCATAATCATAGAAGACAATAAAGCCTTTGTCATTCAGTGATCCAAACCTCTTCTTTCAAAGGATATGACCCCTAAATATTCTTTTTTTCCCCTTTAAGCTGCAGTACATGGACCTATTCTATCAATTACATCATCTCCTATAATTGAAGTCTGGGGTCATTAGGCAGAGTAAGCATTATGCACTTAAGAACTTTTCTAATGATATAGCAGGTCCACCCAGTGCCCTTAAAATGAAGGGCATTCGTTTGCCACAGTAAAAAGCTTAAGTATTGGGTCAGCAAAAACAAATTTGTGATTTTGCAACAAATAACATTATTATAACATGGTTAAACATACAAAATAATGCCCAATAACAAAAACTGAAATTCTATCCTTCTGCCTCATATTTACCTTTTGATAAAATATAAATTTTGTTAGCACACAGCAAAAATGAGTGATTTCACTTCTGTCTCCCAATACTTATACTTCTCATCATAACAGGGATACAAGGCTAACAATCACAAATTGAAACACATTTATACATGGAATGTACTGGTGCTGTAGTGACGCTGTTTTTTTATTTAAACAGACTTGCAGGTGTTTGCATACCCTAATTGAAAAAGAAAACTAGAATCTGAGCATGAAATCTTTTATGCCTTCCATACTTCAGCAGCACACACACAAAGAACTCTTATTTTATTACATTTCAGCAAACGTTTAAAGTTTGTTTCTTGTTTAATTTCAGAGTGCAAATTTGCTATCAGAGCCATTAAGCTGCAAAGTGTCCATAGCATTTCAGACACCTTAATGGTTATATAAAAATCAGAAAAACAATTACAAAGGCAAACAAAAATTAACAGACTGGAAAAAATACTGCTCCTCAGTCACAGGTTGATATTATATAAAGATCATTCAAGAATTTGAATGAAGGCTAGATATGTGCAATATAATGGAACATATTTGCATAGTAATTTATGTACTGTAGTTAATTTGTGAAATATGTTGCACCACTTACATTTTAAATATGAATTACCCAAAGTATTACAGAAATTGCAGAAAGACGTGCAGTACCTGAATCTAATACAGAATATGAGAGTGATGCCAATACAGGAGACGACTGAGATGATAGCAGAGGTTAGTGTGCAACACGAGCCTTACGGTTTTCTCAAAGTAATCTTAATAAATTCATTCACACAGGATTCCTGACTTAGGATCATATGCAATATTGCATTGAAAAATGTATACAAATACAAACATACAATATATCATAATACTGAATGAAATGTTGTCATTATATGAAATGGATGTCATTATAAGAACTTATTACTTGCGTTTATGAATTAATTATCATGTCTGTGACCGATAGGTATGTCACACCTTCACAGAGACTTCAACAGAGCATATTTTCTTCATATGATAACCACAATGACTGACCAGTATTCTGGAAGGCTACATCTTTAAACTGTAAAAGCAGCTGACCACACAAACAATACAGATCAATGAGAAATACACTGCAGTACAGCTGAGACTGATATTGCTTTTATTTTAGCACAACAAGCAAATTGCTTCCTAAGGCTATACATAAAGAATGGAACAAAGAAATGGCATTAATAAATGAACATGGTCTTGTTGGGGGGAGACTATAAAGAGTCACCTCTATTTAGGAGTTCAGGAAGACAATCTACTTATTCTGCACAGTAAAACCTAAAGAATTTCCAAGGCTTTGTTTTTAAAAAACAGATCAATACTGCTATTGAGGTTGCTTAGAAGCTCCAATTATTTTCAGATGCTCAACCAGCAGATTCATTTCCACACCACCGGTACAGACAGACGACACAGATACATTGTCCATACGTTTAAACAAAGTTCTCCTTACTTCCCATGCCTAAGATATTATTATCAACAATAATAATAATAATAATAATAATAATAATAATAATAATAATAATAATAATAGTTTACTGCATCTTCTGACTTTAAGTTCCATCAAAGGTGGGTTGTGAAAGTGATTCCTTGGGTTTCAATAGGAAAAAATGAAGAGGGTGTGTCAGGGTTACCATGAATGTAATATTAATGGGCTTCAGAAAACTAGCATTCAATCTGTTCCACCCTCCTGCCCCCACAACATTTCTACACCACAAACCTTGAAATCATCTTTTCACATTTTGTTTTCTGGAAAATTAAGACAGAATGACAACACAATGATCACAATGATGGAAGGAAACCACAAAGAGCTTAGATAAGTACAAAAGTAACAGGAAAATACTGACTTAAATCACTACTAACTAATGAAGAAAAAAGTGTTAGTCATTATGTTCAAATCCATAAAATATCTACAACTCCTTCATCAACTGGAATTTTGAAGAATTGGTTCACATTCTATAGATATAGGCTTGGAAGGAACAGATGCACATCCATAACAGAAAACATGCTTGCAAAGGTATTCTGTGAGTCAGACTGAAAGGCTGTTGTGAATACATGCAGCACTCACAGATGGTATGAATGAAATCAACAATAAACAACAACCCACTCAGCATACCACAAAGAAACAAAAAACACTGGAATTGGTTATCAAGAAACTTCAAGATAGTTCAACGTCCTATCAAGCTGTAATGAAGTGACAACAGCCACTCCTCTTTTTATTTTAACCCTCTTAGAGATTGTGTCTAATGTCTTATGGAACTGAAAAAATCCTTTCTAAGGTCTGAATATAAAGTACATGTTAAGACATCTAACGTTCTTTAAATCACATTCTGATTCTTTAAATCACTAGTGCACACAAAGATTAATCCACAGAATCTAAAATTTGCTTTAAAATAAACTCATGTTTTCTCAGTATATTTAGGAGATTTTTAAAAAAATCTTCCATTCAGGCTAGAAAAGATAATTATGACACTGTATTTTGTAAATATGTACGTTCTGGATTTGTCTTACCTTTGACGTAAAATTACTTTCAATTGGAGCTCTGGGCACAAACACAAACACAAACGATGTCCCCCTGACAAAGTGTGTGGAATCCCCTTCCCAAACACTTACTTTCTGGGCTTCCTGTTGCGTGTCGGGGCTCAATGTGCTGTCCGCACCCTGAAAAGCAAAGGAAGACTGGGCCTTCCTGCAGGTCCGTGGGCTGCCTGAAGAGGTCGCTGCCATGGTACTGCTGGACGTCTCTCCTTCCACCAAATCGCTGGGCTGATCCTGCCCAAACGCTGCCCAAGAGTCACCCCCGCTCTGGTCCTGCTCTCCAAAAGCATTCCAGCCCACATCCTGACTCCCACGGGCAGAGCTGAAGTCTGCGAAGCCATCGCTGCCAGCGAAATCAGCAAATTCCTCCTCACCGTCTTTTGGTTTGTGGGCTTCACCAAAATCCCCAAAATCTCCTTCATCATTTGATTCTTCACAAGGGTCTTTGCGGACATCAGCACTGTCTCCCTGGTTTTCAAACTGACCTGGTCGACCAAGTGAATCATGGTCAACCACAGGCTGGCTAAAGTCTGCAAAATCCTGACTTTCAAAAGACACCGCTCCCCCAAAATCGCCAAAATCTTCATCCTCTGGCTCCTTCGCCTGCTCTGCCAAATCTGTTGTTTCCAGGTTCTGGGCAGCTGTAATCCCTTGGGAAAAAGGCAGTGAAGGAGCACTATTGGTCATGCTAAATTCTCCAAAATCCTCCAGCCCATCGGGAGAGGCAGCCTGACAGAAAGAAGCAAACTCCTCACTAATTGATGCACTTGTGCTTCTGACTGCAGACTCCCCTTCCCACTCCTCGTCTTCAGCCTCCTGCCTGGTGGCTGTCTGGCCAGATCCCCCGTCCACGCGGCCTGAGGATACATTTTTACTACTCCCACAAACATCGGATTCCTCAGCCCCGGTTTCCTGTCCTCCGTTTTGAGTGTCCGCTTGATCTGTACTGTACGGCACACCAACAGGCTGATGAACAGCTTCACATTCAGCTCCTTGGTACTCCCGTCCATATACAGCTTGTTCTGTGTCCTCCACTATCTCAGAGCCCTTTTCCCCATTGCTTAAGCTTTCTGTGCCATCAGCTAGAGATCTCGAGGGATGAGCCTCTGTCTCTCCAGCTCCATCACTGTTTGAGCTTACCCCAGCAAGCGCAGGGAGGTGAAGTTCATTAACACTATGTGCCACAAAGCTATCCTGGCCGGTCAGTGATTCCTCTTGGCTTGAGCCTTCTCTGTGAGTCTCTCTCGCCTCTGTAGACTGGGTGCTGTCGGCAGATGCGTCGGCACCGGGGATAGAGGAGAAATCAGCAAATCTGTCCTCAGGACTAGGAGGAGAGAAGGGTAATCTTGATTCAGAGCTGATGTGTTTCTGTCCCACTGAGTCAGTAAAACCAGCCAGCCTCCCAGCTGCCTGAGGTAGGGAGTCCTGCATGTCAAATCCCGCAAACCCATTTGTGAGAATTTCCGTGGTCATGCCACCATTGCAGTCCAGGGCCTGGTGTGTCTGGTGTTTGATATCAGTTCTACTACTCACCTCTGCAGTGGAACAGTTCAAAAAAACGTCTGTGTTATTTTGGTCTGCCAGCCTTTTCATTTCCTCTTTATATACAGTATCCTCGTTGATGACAGGCTTAGCGGATGTTGAGATGTCATTGCTGGTGCCAATTTCTACACTGCAGAGGCCAGCGTCAGCTGATTTGGATATCTCCTCACCGGAGTCCCTGTCTTTACCAAAGGGCCCTGGGCTGAAGTCTGCAAAGCCATCGACATGGTTGGAGAAGTCTTTCTCAGGCAAGAAGTGGTTGGGGGGCACAACGTCTGCTCTAGAGGCGCCAGGCGAGTCGAAATCCGTGAGGCTGACGCTGGAGGAAACCCCGGAAAAGCCCCCAAACTCTCCAAATTCATCATCATCCTCTTCTGCCCCATCGTCCAAAGGGGGCGGGGAAGAGGAGTACATTCGGATCACTTCTGGCTCCATGGTCCCACTGTCTCTCGAGGCGACAAACACAGACCTGCAGGGAGAAAAACCGTTAACTCATATTCAGTTCATTCCTAAATAGCACAGGTTCAAAATAATAACAAAAATCAGAGCTTTGTAAAAGCTTATTTTACAGTGTTGTTCTTGTCTGTTTAAATAGCTGTTTAAAGCACACAATTTGCTAAGCATATGCTGGCCTCAACCTAACACTTATGTGGTTAACCATAATGAAGATTTTCATCTCCTTTTGCACCACAATCAGGATTAAGTACACTCTATGAATAGGCTACCTCATGCAGTTGTGATACAGTCACAGATATTTGACAGATAGGATTTGGCAGTATCTACTATATAGTAGCACAAACAGAACCGGCCTATTCTTCTGATAGAATCATAATTACAGGGACAGTATATCACAACATTTTTCACTTTGATTCTGCAAATTAAAGTCACCTGACCACAGATCCACACGTAAAGCTAGATTAATATACACATCACTACATAACATCTAAGTCTGGAAACTTATAGTACCTATGTTAAGGACTTTATAAAAAAAAATCACACTCATTTCTCATCCATCATAATCTGATTTAGGCTAAACACAACATGCAAAATCAAACTTTTCATGAACCAATATGCAAAGCTACAATGGTGTCTATCAGCTCCACCCCATCAGTGTTGTTACCGGCTAGTCAGCCATGCTGGCTACCCTCTCACTGTCCTTCTGCCTCCCTTGCTGCTCCAGGGCTGTCACACCCTCTCATCCTCTCAAAGTTAGCTCCATGCTCCATGCTCCATGCTGACAAGCCCTGGTAATGGTGAAACAGCTGTCCCTGACTGCTAACCTCGACTTTATTTATATGACGTGGAATTAGAAGTCTAATTAGATGATTCAGCTTTTCAGCAGAGTGATATGGTAATAGCTGTTGCTAATTCTCATCATTAATGGCAACTGCGCGCTTCGAAAACACACCACAACCCTACAAGGTGAACCTTCTAGTACGTCCTCTCCTCTAGGTGCGTCTCCACATCACCCTGACTGAAATGTCTTTTTGATGGACTTGAAAGTGTAATCCAGCAGAAAAAAAAACGTTGACAAAACATATTATGTTTCAATTTCTCTACTAAACATCAGCACTACACAATATGCAACACAACACAGTTTTAATGCATTTACCAGTGTCCTGATCCCTGATTTGCATTAAGAGTTATTAAGGGTACAGCACAATTATTATGCTCCTGCAGCACAAACCAAGCTTCTCTCGTGGACAATCAGCATGCTTTCTCTTTGAAATAAAGGTTTTATTAAGGCCTCTTAATTAACATGGTTAAGACATTTTGCTAGTCAAGTAATGAAGGTAAACCTTCTGTGATCTAATTTACAGATGGCCACGCAAATCAGTGAAAAAGTAGAACATGTAGTTTGTTCATCACTTTAATTATATTAAAGGCTTCCATTCACAGCAACTTAAAAGAGGCTTCAATTCAGTGGAAACCCATCAACTTCATTACAACAAATTAACATGCTCCCAGCTCACAGGGGTTTTTACTCTAATCTGCAGACAGCGGTAGGTGATAGTTAAGGTTTGAAAACTGAAGCTTTCTGATGCATGTCCCTCCCTGTACCTTTCATACTTGGAAAAACATTTTAAATATTAATTCTTCTTCCAGGTCAGTAGCTGTACAGAAACACCCACTGTAGTGGGCCAGCCTGTTTAACAGGAACTTAAAAACTTTGTGACAGTGAGATGCTTGCACCAACTAAACCCTACCCGCAAGATAAGCCTGTATATAGGAGTGGCTTCTTCCAGTACATTAACAGCTAGAGTCATGCCAGCTGAATTTACTGAAATCTGTTATACCAAGATGTGAAGACTGCTTTTATGCTATCGTACTTTTTCCATCAGACATGTTCTCATAAGTTTCTGTTTGTCATTTAAGTAAACTGTCCCAAGAATCTAGTACACAAAAGTGGCCAATTACCTTTAGTGATATATGTGATCTTTAATACAGTCTTAACCTTGAATTCAATTTAAAACTTAATTAACAATGGTAAATTAATTATTTATGAGCAGGCTTTCTAAAATCACTAGTAAACAACAGTCCAAGCAGTATTAAAAAGTCTGGACCTCCCATGGGCAAATTCACTAATGTTATTAAAGGTACACCCAGTTTCATTTTGTAATAATAATTGGTTAGGAGAAAGATGTTCAAATACGAGACTCTCACACTGACACATTATCATCCAAAAAATCATTCTCAAGTTTTAAAGATCACAGATTTGTGTGGCATAGTGCTCACCGTGAAGGAGGTCTGTCCTGTCTTAACTAGCTTTGGAAAGCAAAACCAAAGAGCAAAACCAAATTGACAGTTTTATTTTCTAAAACTGATCTTTGATTCTGAAAAAATAAGAATGCCACAACGTCTGGAAACAAGAGACAGCAATTCAGCTGACCCAGTTTCTTTGGCCTTTAGTAGTTAATTGATCTTATCCACATTTCTCGAAAGACGTGATGATATCAGCTTCATGCTAACATGGCTGGTAGCTCGTTCCAGATTCCCACAGTCTTTTCTGTAAGGAAGAGCCACCCGTTCTCAGTTTTAAATACACGTCCCTTTAGTTCCTATGTGTCCCGTGTTTTGTTTCACTTTTGATGAAGAGAGCATAACTGCTGGTTACAAAGCCACATAAATACAAAGTCAGCAATCTCCCTGCGTAAAACACTAGACCTAGATTTTACTACTTAACACGAGAAAAGGCCATTTTCAGCAACATGGCAGGAAAAGATAAACATATCACCATTTTTTATTTGGTGCAGCTGATTTGCTATTTTTATCTGCTTACGAGTAAATAAATATTTTAGTCTTGGTACTCTCTTATAATTTTAAACTGCTCAGGCTCTGTGCTTTATTAATGAGTCTTGTTGAAGAATGGAAAGTCAAGTGTGAACTGTACTCTCAAACTACCTTTTAACAAACACAATAAAAGGTCAAGTACAGAAAAGGAATGTACTGTATTGTGAATATAAACCCATACTGTCTTTGTGAGTTAAGCAATTCCACAACAATGAGAAGTACCCAAACTACAGCCTGACAACACATAAAGAAAATGTAATTGTTAGTAAATCCTATCAATTAGCACAAACTCAAGGTGCCTGTACCTTAATAGTCATGGTCTATGGATTAATCAGAACTTTTCAGCAGAACACCCAGACCAGCTGTACATTACCTGTAATGACTAGTGACCCGTTATGGCAATGGACATGATTTAATTTCACTTTCGCCATTCTGAATACCTTTTAGATTAATGATCTATACATCCTTTATCAGAAATCAGATGCTTATTCCTGGTGGAGGGGTCTTAGGAAATACAAAACTACCCCAGAAACATTAGATGCAAAACATTGGCCCAATATGGAAACGAACCCAACACCCAAAACTGGATACTTTGTCTACCCAAATATGTCATGTTGAGAACAAAAACTCATTTGCAATGATAATGTGTTTTATACCCAGGGCAATTTATTGGAGTGCCCCCTAGAAAGTGCCTTGCTCAGGGGTGTCACAGCCCACCCAGGATATGAGTTTGCTACCCTCCAGTATGGTGTACAGAGCTGTATCCACACTGCTGCAGTAGCACAACACTAAATATTTCTACCTACTTCTTCCTATTCAAGGTGATTACATCAATTCTCTGTGACAATTACTACAAATGAGAGATGACCAAAGCCATAAAATAGACCACAGAGCTTACATATCAATTTTTTACTTTGATATCTGCCACCTGATAAGAGAAATAATACACAATACTAATCTTCACCACTTTATAAACACTTAATTTAATTTTAATTAGGCTTTGTTTGCACCTTGAGAAGATGGTAACAAAAATAGAGTCGACACTCTATACTTCAGTGGTTAACAGACTCCCGAGCCTTCTAAATATTTCAGGTGATTCTTCTGCCTCTCCTGCTTAAAATGTTTAAACCTGTGGTTCTTTTGTGCTGTAGTATTCAGTATTACTAATCACCTGAGCCTAGAATCATACCACATTGCACTGAAATCATACTTTTTCATGTAACTCAAGTAGCTCTGCTAAACCATTTGTTAAGATTAACTTTTTTTCTATTTAAATTCTTTATTCCTTTTTAGAACCACTCATATGCCTCATTTTCTACTGAATCATGTGATATTATTTTGGAGACTTTGGACAGATGAGCTATGCGGCTGAAAAAAAATAAGAGTGAGCAATGCAAGAAATGTACATTTTTGTATGTGAACGTGCAACAAAGTCGAAACATTTTCTCAGTCTCCACACTGCTGTTTGCTTGGCTTAAATCATGACGAAAAAAGGACAATAAAGCATGGAGATGATTTCTGGTCTCAAATCTCATCCTGAAGGAACTTTGTGCTACAGTTTTACACATGCAGTGATGAATCCTCCTTCTCACAAAACTGCTGCATTCTTAAGTTGCTACTTTAGGTTTTATTACAAACAACACACAGATATCTCACAAATAGGTTTGAGGCATGTGACCTTAGAAATGAAAATGCAGGCCCATACACTTTGACCAAGAGAAGCAGTATACTTACAAACCAGAAAAGTGGGGAAAAAACATAACTGAAATTTTTATACAATTCCAGACTGACAGAACATGATGTCAAGATATAAATAGTATAAATAGTGAGGAAATAGGAGTATCCCATTAGGAATATCCTTTCATTTCTAAGTGCTAAATTACCTTTCACTTCCTCATGAAAACATGTAAAACCTACACAAAAATCTAATTTACGCGTTCAGTTCTGTTTGATTTTTGTAATGTGTTACATTTGCCTTTTATTTCTGAAACTGCACAAATATTTTTAATTCACTGCTCTAGAAACATGTTGTTACAATGACATTCCATGTCACTGCAGCCAGGGGTGACTGAAAAGCACCTGTGTTGTGGATGGAGACAGAGGAATTACAGAATCATGTGTACAAACAGAAAACAATTCCCCAGGGGCTGAGGTTGCTATATCATTTTATATGGAAATCATTATGAATCACTTGCAAAGGCAAACATCTGGGCTGAAAGTCTAAAACTATTCCAACATACTGCAACCTCCAGGTAGCATCCCAACTTCTAGGTGAAACTCTTCTATATCAAAACAAAACTAAAAATGTAATCCTGTGCTGGAGCCAAAACTATTTTCATACCTACACAAGATCTTGTACACAAACCATGCAACTCTGGGCAAAATCTACAATGCTTTGATGCACATTGGGAAAACGAGCTGTGGCAAAACCGAATGGGACTGTGCAGGAACCTTCACCTGACCCAGGGAGATCGCTAAGCTTGCCAAATTGAAATTGACTTTTAAAAAAAAATAAATGTTGCGTTTCTTCGGTTCTCGGCCGATCTATTGAAATGGAAGGCAGGGGAAAATATTAGCCACCCGCAGTCCAATTATTGCAGCTAGTACTTTCTTAATACAGAGTGGAATAATGGTAAAGTTCTGCGCGACTCACTTAACTGCTACACCTGACAAATACGAACTTCCGGGAAACGAGACTGGACTGAGTGACAATAAAACATAATTCAGATTTGAGCTGTTTCATGGAATTGCCGGTATTAAACTGCACTGTAAAAACGGATAAAATGCGACGGCTTAGTACACACAGTCAGGTGTTTATCAGTGAGACAATGAAGTCGAATAGAAACGTGCTTCCAGCGCACAAAACCTTCATGTGGCGTAAATGTGACTCGCGGATAGCGTTTTAGTACGAAAGCAATGTCGACAAAACTTGTCGACACTCAGAACGTGCCCCCGTTCACATCTAATATTACTTTGCAGGACCGTCGACAGCATGTTACTCTGTGACAGCTGTCATCCAAGGCTTCCGCGGCACCCAAGCCACTCGTCATTTAAGCAAAACAAAGTTGAAATATCGTTTCAAATACTGATCAAAGCGTTGCGTCTGCACTTGTCTTGGTCAAACACGGCCATAAAAAATCGGCACAAAAGCGGAAGTTGGCTGTGTCATCTTGTGCATTAAGGGACTCAGATTAGGCCTTAACCTGGACTTTCAGACGGGGAGGGGGTTAAGTACGCAACGCGCTACAAAAAACAATTTCGAAAAATAAAAGGAGGAACGACTAGCCCACCCCTCCCCACAAAACAACCTTCCTGGACACTAAAACCCGGCTCCGCAGTCACAGCAGAGGAGGCAGTCTTTCATTTTTAACGAGATCTCCGGGTCACATTTCGGTTTCCAAATGCCCTGTGTTTGCATCAGTACTAAAGGAATACCCCCTCCCCTCCCTCTCCATATCCTGGTTGGCTGTCAGTACACACAGAATGATAATTAGCGTACCTTCAGATGTCACCAGGCAATTCTCATGGTTCAGATGCTATGGGTCCACGCCATGGGCTGACGGTCAGGCCTAGACCCAGAACGCCGAATTCCTGAGCTTGTTTTCAATGTAAATGAAGGTTAAAAGCCGGCTCGGATACGCTCAGTTTTCCCTTTCCTCGCAGTCCCAGTCCCTTTTACCCAGCATGCAACAGGAGCGGTAAAGCAAAGAACCCAGGGTTGCCCTCGGAGTCGTCACTTCCGGCAGGGGTTGGCGGAGTTGAGGTTGCGTTTGCAGGGTGACTTTCGGTGGACGACATTCCAGGCTGTTTTGTTTTCCCTGGCAGTCCGCCCTCCGCTCTCTCGTGTGTTTCGTTTGCTCCCAAAGCAAGTGGAAATTCGTGCTCGGGGCCTGTAGAGATTAGGTGGAACCTTCAGCAACGTCAGGACTTTTAATAAAACACAAAGTTGGGGGAGTTAACGCAGGTTCTCTAAATGCAATCCCAAAGTGTTCAAAAAACCAACGCTGCGAAACGATTTTAAAAATGAACGTGGTGTTGGATTTCAAAGCAGTTCATCCTGACGGGTTAAAATCATAATCTGGAGACAGAAGTAATTTTTTTGTTTGTTTTACAGTGTGATTCTCTTGAAAAAAAAAACAGGTAAAACAACCAAGCTTAGGCAAGGACCCACAGATCGTCTCCATGCTAATAATGTGTTATCAGCTTTGAGGTGTATGTATTTATCCCTTAGCAAAGGTCTTTGTAATTCAATTTTAGGAATGTTTTTTTTACTTATATGAGTAGATTTTAAGTATAGTATACATGTATTTGCATCATTCTTGGAATGACTAATAGAAGTTTTGGAATAAACCGATCATTTTAGTATTTGACAACCCTTTTCAAATGGTATTTGGAAATCTTCAGATAGTGGCAATACTGTAGATAGAACTGTATGCATTGATCACTACTTTATTTTCACACAAAGGTGCCTTTAGTGTGTCTAGCAACACAGAAATGTCATTGTTATGTACTGAGGTTCATACTTACAAAATTACATCCTTGCAAGGATTTATTAATTTATTTAAAATTGGAATGAAGTCTATGGTAATCCATTAAATGAATGTGATACTGTTGTCTATGTGACAAATGAGTTATAAGTGTTGCTAATGTAAGGTCACATAACAAAATGCATACTGACTTAAAAGTGAAACGTTTCTTCCGTATTGGACCTTGAACACTGATATTCCTGTGCAAACAAAAGGAATGATAGTATTTCTGTAACAAATAAAAACGTAGAACTAAGTCTTGGAACAGCAATTACTGGCAATAAATCAGAATGGCATTACAAAGGGAGAGCACTGTAAAGAGGGAAGAATTTATAGAAAAGTATTATAAATTGTATTTTTCATTTTATCCTTGCCCAGTTTGAAAGCTACCAACGTCCATGTGCACTCACAGGAACACCTCCTGTACTACTCTCTGCGTGCAACTGGTGTGTTTAGCTGTATTTATGGACCAGCTTCTCTCACCCATTGGAGATCATCTTTTAACACACTGCCAGCTCCAGGCAGACTGGGCTTCGATTGGAGGAGCTCATGCTGACATCACTGCACATCTGCAGGCAGCCGGGAAACTGTAGGAGTCACTGTTTCGCTGAGCAAACCCCTAGGTTTAACAATGTCCAGGTAGTGCACATCTAGCAGAGCACTAGCAGTGCTTTTCCCTCCTGGAGCTGTGCTAATGCTTCTATTGGTTTGCTAGAGATGGACCATCTGGACATTCCAGTCCCAGTCAGTGAGTGTAATGACCCAGGTTATAACTCACAACACCTGGTCCACAGAGCTAAAGCATCGAGCGCTGGGATCAAGCTCCTCTACTGGTAAGTGAAGCGCAGTTTGGTTTCTGGCAAAACCAGGCCCGTGCGTGTCTGTGTCTGCATCTGTATGTCTGCCTTGTGATGGACTGGCAACCCATCCAGGGTGTACCCCATCTCGATAGGTTCCAGCTCCCCTGGGACCCTGAATCGGATGAAGTGGTTACAAAGTGAGTACAAGGTGTACAAGCTGTTGTATGTTCAGAGAAAAGGTTTTTAGAGAAACTGGTTAAAGGGGCTCCATTTTCTGCCTTTAAAGTTATATAAAAAGATATATTAATTGATTTGGATAGTCCCGTTCCTTATTGACTTCATGGACTAACTGGTTATTCTATTATTTACCCATTTTAACATATACATAGATTTGGGTAATACTTCATATTAGGGGTTGTGAATGGAATTTACGTCCATTCCTTCCAATATATATATTATAAATGTAATATGTTTGTAAAGTATTAATAGAGGGACATAAAAGTTAAACTAAGCAACATCTGCTGTATTAGTGAAACCCTATTCCTGCCTGTACCTTTACCCCTGACAGTTTAAGATCTCATTACTGGCATGTTGATAGAATATCTGAATCAATGCCCCATTGCGGTGACTGTGGCTGCGCTGTAGGAGCTGCTGTCCTTCGAATGAGGCCTGAAATGAAGATCCTGATTTACTACTACCTGGTCATTAAAGATCATGACACTGTTCGTAAAAGTAGGGTCCTGACTGCTGTGGCACACTGTTTAAATTCCATTCGAGGCCTTTTTTACCAGGGGATCTTTCTGTAATTTTGTTCCAGTCGTTTCAAATCCATTTTTGCACACTATGTGAATATAATGTGGCTTATTAAGCATGTTTACAGTATTTCAGAATGTTTCATTCACAAGTAATCACTCAAGACTTTAAAATGTGATTAAATGTAAGCAGGCAAACATCATAACCTTGCACACATTTCTTTTGCCATATTTTAATAATGGAGTTACATGTGCTTTTGGCAAACCTGCACCCCATCCACACAAAAAGCTGTTTTAAAAGAGCATTAGAAAACAGAAGTCAAGCATCAATAATTGCATTTTTAAACTCTTTTATTTATAACCAGCACCTAGATAACAGTAGAAAGCCTTTTAGTTTTTGGTCTTGGTGGACATTGTTAATTAAATGGAATCTAAACATTATGTGAGAACTTATAAGAAGGAGCTGTCCAGTATAGAATTTGGTTGTATCATGTCTACAGAATCTACACAAGATTCCACAAATAGGAATACCTGTGAGTTATTTAACATTAACACACTCTGGTGAGAGAAGTGCTGTATTGTACTTGCATTTTCTGCAAAGCAAACAGGGATTGACATGAAAATAAGAACCTTAAACTCCAGAGGCGAATTCAGCATGTCTGGGCGTTGCCCACAGAGTGAAGCTGGTATAATGAATTCACCACTGTGAGGAGGAAAATGGCAATAAGAAAAAGAAAATTCCAGGCATTTTATTTTCGAAAAGTTCTTCCCACCACCCAGCCATTAAGAAATCAGACAGCGAATGTGATTGTGACCAAATACAAGGACCTCTTTATTGTATGGAACAGTATACTAGAGGTCAGACTCCTCTACTATTGGTCCTAATATTATTTTCTGCTTATGGAAGGGGCATCTGTAATCACACCAATCCATCTGTCATAATGGATCAGTACATTTTGCATCCATGTTGTTTAGGGAACAAAAGCGATACAAGTAACTTTATGTCTGAATGTCAGTTTGGCAAAAATTGCTCTTCTTACTGTGGAATCAGTGGAAAAATAATATTGGGGAAAAAATAAGAAAAATGAACCTGTATGCAGCATAAACTATATAGCAGTAATTCCTAGGTCTGTAAAACATCATATACATTTTCAAATTATTTTTTGATTTCCTCTGGTCTCTAGAGAGCACAGATTAGAGGTGACCCACCTGAAAGAACCATTTGTTTTGCCTTTATCTTATTACTGGAATTCCCTGAGTCAATATTTACACCAGCATGCCTAGGGGTTGCTGCTATACAGAAGAATGGATATGAGCAGGTGTCTTTCCCCATTTTCCAGCCTTGGTGAATGAGTGACTGAAAATGCATTATGAGACTCGGGAAATCCTGTAGCTCTTTACCAGCCCCTTGTGAAAGAAAAAGGAGACATTAGAAACAAATGTGGGTGGTCTTTTGGTTAGCTAAAAAAGTTACCTATGTCCCAAAAAAGAACTAGGTAAGATGACAATTATAGAGTACTAATTAGAGGCAAATAATAGCTAGACCAATTGTCCCAGTAAGAAATGTATTATCATCTGCTGTTCCCCTTAAGGGAATGCATTCTGCAAGCACAATGATCTTTTAGATCTTGTTTAAATGTCTTGCCAAAGTTATATCTGACAGAATTTGTGGCATGCACCATAGCAAACCAGAGATGCTGAAATGAAAATGAGTGTGTAGCATGTCCCACCCACCCCAATCCTGGGATAGAAACCATGAGCTCTTCGGCTTCTTAACAAAGGATAAACAGAGAGCCTCTTGTTTTGCTCGCTTGTCAGATGTCATCTGTATATTCTGTCTTGACATTTTTTATATGAGAGAAATCAGTGGCACCACATCAAAAGATGTCAAGTTTATTAGTCGGCAAATTAGATTTAAAAACAGCACAAGGAAACATTCAAAGTGGAAAAATACAATAGCTGGAATGGACTTAATCCAAAAGAAAACAACAACTTTCACCAATCCAAAAGTGTACTTTATTCAGAATGGCTGAAAAGAAAAACAACTGTCATGGCAGCTCTAAAACTGCAGTTAATTCCAGACTTTCTCACAAAATAAATGCAAAGAATGAATGTAAAAACAGCATATTTACAAAAATTGTGTACAGAGCATGCCAGCTCCACACTGGTATCTGGCAATTTGAGGCATCATTAGTGCTAAGACTAATACCAGATCCTTCCAAGAAAAAATGTATGAGAAAATTTTTAACAATAAAGACACCCAGATGCATTTCTTAAAACTAATATAATGGTACAGTATACCAATTATTTGGTTTTGCACTTACTCTAGAAATAATTTAACAACAGTCAATTTTTTAAAATTCTTAAGCTCAGAAAATGCTTTTTCAAAAAATAGATCAATTGGTGATAAAATTTTGTCTACAAGATTATTTTCCAATATAATTTCTAGCATTTGAATAGCATTACTATCATTAGCATGCTTGAATTATATATGGCTCAAGTATGAAAATATTTAGTGCCGTATTTTGAGCTCAATAAACAGGCTTCCTCTGTACACAGTAAAAACATGATTGTACATACATCACTTTTACAACTTAGCACAGTATACTTCCTCCTTATGGAGGAATACAATAAGGTACATTGTCTTTGCTTTAGAAAATCACCAATGGTTCTAAACTAAGGCCTGATTTTCAAAGTCCTACTTCAGTTTGGTAGTAGAAATGTTAAATTTCCAAAAAGGAACTAATTTCTGACATTCAGGTAACGGTGAAAATGCTTACTTTCATTAATTTTTTGTACATATCAAATAACTAACATTACAAAACTGTATTTGAGCTCTTAAGACCATTAAGGCCATTGTTAAGGTTTGTTAGCTTGGAAAATCAGGCCTCACATAGGCAAAATATACATCAGACTCACAGATACAGCCAAAACTGCTTACAATCAGGAACAGTGACATTCATTGGAACAGATCAAATCAATGCTCAAGGCCTTTTCCGGTTCCAGTTTGAAAACCGGCCAAGTATGTAAGAAACTAAAACAAAATGTGCTCAGTTGTAACTGAAAGTCTGTTTTTTGACTGTGATAAGGAAGAGACAGCCTGGATCTAGGAGGAGGGCTGAGAAGGAGCAGCCTTTACAGATCTTAGCAGACCATTTAAAACCCGTTCACAGGTATCCATAAGGCATTGTGTTCATTTGCTGGCTATTCTGAGACTCGGCTGGATTTAAGTTTTTTTTTTGAATACTCAATATTAAAAAATATTTATTTTAAAGATCCATCGCAAAAATGTATGGACATTAGAAATTTGGCCCCGTATAACTCTTAACTCTGTGAAGTTGTTAAATTGTTCTCTAGGGTTAAAGACTTGATTACATAGAGAAGCCATACTGAAGTATTAATGCTCCTGCCAATATATTCCTTTAGTATGATTATTGCCTGAACATTTATGGAATTTCTGGCATTTAACCCTGAAAACAAATGTAACCAGTAGAGACATCCCACGAGTGTCACTCTCCTCTCTCCTCATTCCCATCCACTACTCTGGATCCACTGCTAATACAGCCACCTTGTACAAAGAGCAGTGCATGCATAGCAGCAGAAGAACTGGAGCAGGTTTCTAAATCTGAGTCTTTAAGCTGCACTATTGTCATACTTTACAAAAAGCTTATTTTGTGTAAACATTGCTTCATCTTTATTTGTATCATGCCAAAGTAAAAAAAAACAAGTGCTGAGATGTACTCTGTTAATGCCTTTTTCCTAACTTCTGTTTTGTTATACATTGATGTCTTTACTAACCCTAATGCACTACAACAGCAACTCAGGGAAATTTCTTCCCATCTTGACTTCAACACTTCTACAGGATACAAAACCTTAATCTTATCAGTGCTAATACGATAGCATGGTGTGACAAAAAAATCTTTGAAGTCCGTACCATTCATCCAAAAAAATGATGGATTATTTATGTTCAGGAAGATCATTTATTATATATATGAGCAAATACTTATGTGCCCCTTAGAATAGAGATTATTGCTTTGTTACAACCATTAAATAAACAGCAAAATATTACAGAAGACGATTAACAACAGCTTCTGTTTTAGTTTGGTATTATTCCCTTGGGGAGAAAGTCCTTAATGTCGCTGTGCTTGGATTCTGCCTCTCTCTGGGCCTCCCTATCACAATACCCTGTTTTAGTTTCTACAAAAGCCATATAAAATTATTTTACTTTGCATGTTTATTTTTTTATACAGTATGTACTCAGAAGACATGCATTGTGAAGTTCAATTTTTGTTATTCTCATTCTCATAACTGATGTCGTATTGTCTGATATTCTAGAACTGTATTCTAATAAGTTTCCCCTGTGCAATAAATACCAAAGTTTTCATACCTGTTAAATACTAATGCTTTTGAATATAGCAATGTGTTGCTTCCTGTCCTTTTACAATTGTTTTATGATCCATTTAAATTTGTCTGGCAAAACAATTGTACAAGGTTTAACATTTTAATTAACAAACAGCAAATCCTGAGTGTTCTATCCTGGCCCTAATGAAGAACTTATCTCTGCATACTGCTATTGTGGAAAACTGGCCAACAGAACACAAAACGAATATTTACAACTGTGAAGTGTGTTCAGGTAATACTTTTGAGCTTTGAAAGCAAAACAATGCATGGCCATACTCTGCATGAAGCACACTGGGAACCCTGAAAAGTCAACCAACTGTCACTTAGAACAACAAAATGAACAGATGCTGAAATACTGGGGGTCACACTTCCTGTTGCGGAATTACAAAGATCTCCATAAATAATTAGGCCTCTCGCATGTGCCTGTCCTCCTTTCCAAAACACACAGGAAAAAAAAGAGAAATCTGTTACACACAGCATTACAAAATAGTGCATCTGTGTTCTTAAGAAGCTGTTTAAGCAGCCACTGAGACTGAACCGTCTGCTACTGTGAAACCATGGTGCTCAGCTTTAAAATCATCTGCCTGGTGCAGTTGTGCAGTGAAAGAAAAGCAAGTGCTTTTTTAAGAGAACAACTGGCAGGTCAACTAAATCAATTCGCCTATATGTCATTGTTTTTACTGTAGTTATCATTTTTATGTTTCTCTTAACTCATAAACTGAAACATTCCTTTTGAGAGTTCACACATAAAATGTCTCAGAATTTTAATATTTGATGTCATTTCCATGATAAAAATCTGTACAATACTGGCATAGTCCTTGCTATTGCCACTATAAAAAACTAACTTTTACAAAGGCTCATCCATGTGGATGGTTTATTACAAAGCTTTAGGTGTGGTGTCATACCAATACAGCAGTCCAAAGTATTATATTTGAGATTATCCTAGTGATGTTACATACTGCATCCAATCTGTGACATCACTAGGATAGTGGTGATGTCATATAAACTAACCTACATAATGAATAATATTTGAGGGCTACAAGAACAGTTCTCTGTCCACCTGCTACATACATTTAACTGCTTGGCCACTAAAACTGCAAAGTCAGTATGTTGTTGCCAGCTCCTCAGTGTCAACAAACCTATTTATCAAAAGAACGCTAAGTTAACGACTGCTTGAATATGAGAAGGAGAGGAGTCTTTTTACAATGCAAACATTGTGTGAAAATTACACTTGCGTTTCTGCACACATTTGATAGAATGCAACAGAAGCTTATCTCTAGCCTTTCATAAAGGCAGGCAGACAGCACCAGGGCACCACATGGCAGCCTAATAAGACGTTATAACCAAAAACCGAGAAGTAGGGCTGGAGGAAGACTATTCTTGAGGCTACTCTCTACACATACTCAACACCCGATCCTCCAGCCTGATTCAATGTGTAAAATTCACAACCATTACAGGAAGTTCATCAAGGTTCAGGAATGTAGACCTCTGCTCTATAGTATACAAGTCTGAAACAGTAAATTAAGATTTGTGTTCATTTTAAGATATACACATTGTCAAGTATATTTCCTCAGTTGGATTCTTGATTCAGCAAACCAAGCTAAGGATCTTAGCCCTTCATTCTCGACATGGTGATGGATTGCTAAATCCCAACGCCTGTGGAAGTACTGTGACCTGCACAAGTTACAGGCTGCAGACATATCAATGACACAACTTCACAGTGAGCCAAATGCCCACTGCAAATCTAGACCTAGAAGAACAGTGCATATATGAACAACACTTGGCTAAGATCAGCCCTGCCTTACAAAGGTAACAGTCAGGAAACAGGAAACCGAATGTGCCTACTTTCCTTTTCTAGATAAATCCATTATTTCCTCTTGAAGGCCAAACTATATCCATATTTTCCGCATACCCACAACTAAAACAGTGATTACATTCAAACAGCTTCAACCTTCTTATTATTGTCTATCGGTATCACAAAGTGTTCCAACAGAAGATAAGTTCCATGTGTTGGTTATCTCTTTCACATGTGCCATTCTGATTACAAACGCAGATGTTACAACCAGACAACGGTAGTATGATTTACTGTCTGAAGTGGTCATCTGCTGCTGTTTTACACGATATGGAAAATAACTGGCAGTGAGAACACACTGAGACGGACAGGGTGCTGGTATCATATACAGTAAGACTTAAATCTTGCCAGCAGTAAAATATCCCACTGCACCTCATAAAACACAGCTGCTGCTTTTCATAAGATTATTTCCACTGCATTCATGCTGTTGGTAAAGTCACATATATTTCATGCAGTAATTGGCAAAGCTATACCACTCCTAACAGATAAAATTATACCCACCTGTCTATATTTAAACCACTGTATCTCAGCTAAATTCTATTTTCTATTGTGCTGCTATAATCCAACTCAACACATAACACAGAAAATTAATGTTTGTAAGGAAATAAAGTGTAAAATAAACCTTAATCCTTATGTTGGTAATTCCTAAATACTTGGATAAAATAACTGCTACATTGTACTTAAAGACATCACAATATTTTTACAACATGTCATTAAGTAAATTAATAAATTAAACTTCATTTCACTTTTATTGTTTAACATAGCAATGACTTGCTGTGAAAAAGTATCCTGAACTTCAAATAAAAACTTAAAAAAAAACAAAATTAAAATCATAGTTTGATACTAGCAGCCCCCAACGTATTAAATATGTTAGACAAAAACATCTAAAGAAATAATTTATTTTCCTGAGAGCCTGTTGTTTTAATACAAAAATGCATTACTGAGTTTTGCTGTTTGTAACTGGCAATTGATATAGCACTGCAAAATCCCTGTGGTATGCATTTAGCATTGACTGCACAGGTGATATTGTGACACCCCAACGAAACAAAGACAGTACTTTTGGGTTTCCTTAAGACTGACACCACTGTGCATTGCAACAATTAATACACATGCTATTTTGCTTGCAATTTGCCCTTCTAATTTTTTTACAGTAAAGTCAGATAGTCGACTTCAATTTGTACTTATCACAACAGAGAAAGCAAAAGAAATGAAGTAGTGCTGTCAGTGTTTAGCAGGCCCAGACGTTACTATTGTAGTGTTGCAATACGTACTGTATGCAGGACAGTTTTTGCACCATCTTACATCCTCTCCTGGTGAAGTTGCTACTCCCTCTGCCTTGGCGCCAAGGTTAACCTAGTTTAGTAATTTGTAGACTCCCGTTAATCCTTATCGTGTCGATGGCTGGTAAAGTCACGATCCGGTGATAAAAGTCAAAGAGCTGATGTCCGTCCACAAATATTCGGAACCGCTGGTGTTCACAGTGAATTTCAATCTAGAAACAAATAAAAAACGCAGCCCTTAATTAATCCCCAAATCAACAAATGGACAACAGACAAAATAAAGGCAATGCATTTTAGAAGGAGAGGGAAATAAGCTTGTTTTTACGCAACTGTCAAAGCTAAAACTCACTTCGTAGATGTTAAGTTCCTGAGCTGCTTATTCAACTAGACTCGAATCATGCTTCATCAACAAGCGTGTTACGCAAACTATTTAAATGGTTAAAAGGGTTACAACACGTCAAAGTAGGAGTCCTGACATCCCTCAACTGTCCTACGTGATTAAGGGTCTGTATGACCTATAATTCAAAGTTCAGGCATCATTACCCTAAACGGCTGATCTTGGATGAAAGGAAAGTAGGGAATGGGCGTTTCTTCCTCGCCCCACTCTCCGGAGACGCACGCTTTACGGAGGAACTGCCTCTCCGCGAATCGGGCGCTCAACTCCAAGGCCACATCAGCAGGAGGGTAGTCCTCAGTGCCGCCGCATGTCAGGCTGATATCAAAACTGCGTGAGCAACACCAACACAGGGCACCAATGAAACATTGCCCTGAGTCACAGCAGGTCAACTAAAGCCTCTCACTTCACATTCCAATTATGTCAACTAAAGTCTCCACACTATGCCAGTTAAGAACGCACAGATTTTAGTCGTCAAAGCTGTATTTGTAACAAAAGAACAATACATAACTGGAAATATCCAATTAACCAACGAAAAGTACAAAAGTCTGTGGGAGAAACAAGATGTTCGGAATACATCATTCATAGGCGATGTGACAAGAACAGCTTGCTGATGTTACTGCAAATACACAACCATTTGTGTAGTTTTAGATTACTACACACAAACAGTTCTCCAGAAGGGATCGCACCTCCATCCTGATAAATCTTGCTTTCGGATTCATAAGCCGTTGTTACCACCAACGAAAAGTCATCCCTTGACCCCCCTAGAGAAAAGTGGGCATGGCGTTGCATGCATGAGAATTTAATCGTTCTCTAATTCCTTTTGTGTGTGATCAAACAGGCAAAATTAATTCGGCATTTTCTTGGCCGGGAATGATAGGAGTAAATCAGAGCGCTAGGAGTGGCACTACTTTTTAGTCACAATAAGTCAAGGCACTAATTCCAGGTGACCTGATATCCAACTAGCACAGACACCTAATAATATATAAAACATATAATAATAATTACCTTTCAGGTTCGGGATCAACAATACCCATCACTATGATCTTCTTGCCTGGCCTCATCCCACCTTTGATGCGACCACTAAAAGGAACAGTCTAGTCAAAGAAAGTGAGATTTTTCACTGTGTGAGTAGAGTATCATTACTGGTACATAATGCAGAAACACATAGAGATACGCAGTCTCATCCACAAAAACAGAGACAAAATGCGTCTTATTACCAGTAAACGAGTTATGTCGTCTCTGTCTGGAGAGCACAGACCGGAGCTTCCAAACGAATTGTTCAGGTGTGGTTCATTCTCGGTATTCTACACAGAAACACACGAAAACCAAGGATTGGCAGTCATTATTTTTAGATACCACAGGTATCCAGAGAACGTGCTAATTATACGGATCTGGTTATCAAAATAAAGGCTATAAATTATATTTAGAACATCCAGTCAAGAACATCACAATGACTGCAAAATTCGTTCATTTTCGGTGGCACGATGGCGTTACCTCCCAACGATTGTGATATGAAGCCTGCCAGCGTCGTTTTGAAGCAGCTGACATTTTTAAAAGGCTCCGATAAAATGTAACCGTCTCCTGAACTGGAGCATCTATTATTGGACATATGACCCTAAAAGAGGCTGTACCTCTATCGGTCTGTCCCCGACCGCACTCTGTCCAGGTGATTTAAAGCCCCATTGACTACAACAGCTGAGAAATACAATATTCAAATTTCGGTATTTGCAAAACAGATATCTGCGGTTACAGGTCCTTTTTTCCAACTGTAATGTAAATGTGATATTGCAACGCACAATACCGCGATGTTGCACAACAATTACCCTACACGTTAATAACAGTCTGAAGAATTTTTCATTGTTTAGCTGTTCTATTTTCTGCCTTTTTCTACTTACTATTAAGTCCTTTTCCGTGCCCGATACCGCCATCTTGTACAGAATACCATAGGAGAATGGATTGATCAGCTGAGCCAAGAGGCAGGTCAGTCCCGAGCGATGTGTTCGCGCTGAGCCAGTGACTGCTAAGGCTGCATCAAGGTGCTTGCACTCGACCAGGAATTTAATAGTAGCCTATTGTAGAAGACGCCCTGCACGTTTGAGAGAAGGATAATTGCTGACGTGTAATAACAGACAGAGAGGCTTAATCCGTGTCTGGCCATAAACACTAATCTGCTATTTTTTTAGCGTACATGAGACGACTGTGTTCCCCTGTTCACCCGACAGGAGATAGGCTCACATCACAACAAATATTTACACCTAGCCAGTTTCATGTTTAAACTAAGCTTTTAAGACACAGAAAACAAGGAATTGCCTATTGATTCAAAACAAAGTGGCTGTATGTACAGCCTGCACTGTAATCTGTAATAACAGTTGCTATTATTAATGTTTATGAATTGTACAAAGGTTTTGCACAAAGGCTATTCACCGGATGTACTGTATAACTCTCAGTTGTTTGAAATGTTTTGCAAGTATGAAATACCTTTGTAAACAGAAATAAAAGACGGGTTGCATGAGAGCTGGAAATCATAAATCATTCAATTTCATTTACACGGTGAAGACTTGTATTTATAAATTAAGGACATATTAATCTTTATCATGTCTTTGCTGCTTGTTGTTCTTCAACGTAGCTACCAATTAAAATTCACTTATAATCCACTGATGATACTAAAATTAATGAATGGAATTATTTATGCCAGAAAATATAATCAAAAGCTAAAACCAGCATTTAGGGATAGCAGTATAAATGATTAAAAACAAGATAAAATTCAGTTGGGCGCTGTTGACTCACGTACTGTAAGTGCAAAAATAGATCTGCATTTCTCAGCGCTACTGTTTTTTTTTAGTAGCACAAAGCACAGGACAACCACTACACAGTACAGGGAAGAGGCAGTCTGAGAGATACAATTTGTAGATTTACAGTCTCATAAAGCCTATTACTACGGGAAATACTGCAAACCCTCTTCATTGATCTGAATTACATGATCCTACTTACAAGCTTCGCATCCTCAAGCACCGCTGGTTAAAGCAGCCAACACTAAACTAGAAACACACGGGGTTTATGTCTTTAAGATGGACATTAGATACTCCATTTCAACAAGCTTCGCGCAAATAGGAGAGGAAAATAATTTTTACAGGACACAAACGCGATAAATAACAACTAGTTGCAAGTTCTGAACTGATACCAACAGTCTGAGCTACACTGACATGGCCTACAGTAGTTATTGGGTCCCAATGCCGTATTTTTCGATTGTGGGACGCAGCCGAGAATCGGGTGTTTACTCGCATCCTGGGGAGGCGGGTCTAGTTCCACGGAAATAACTACTGATTTCCAAATGGTGCAATTCCTTTGAAACATGTCAAATATTGCCTCACATGGCAAAGAAAGACATTGCAGCTGTGTTTTTTTCTAGATCGTGCTGTTTGATCTTTCTTAACAAAAATAATATATATATTTATAATTCAAATGATGCTGAAATCGTAATTTAATAGCCGATTCTTGTTTACACCAATTTAGGATACTAGTGTAACGAGATTTAATAGTGCAGCGCATTGCAGTATTTTTCATATTGACTGCAATCTTTAAAATAATGTTTTTATAAACTGAATGTCTAAATCTAAACAAATATTGTATAATTAGGTGCACTGCTTACACTATCACTTACACAGTACAAACATTCATGATGTGTAAACATATATTTACAATCCAGCAGGTGTCATAGCTCCCTTTGTATCTCTAGCACACGAAGAATAGATGGAAGGCATTCAATTGCCCAGTTAATTGAATAATTAGTCCCATAAGCTAGTTAATAGTTCGAGTGGAACAAAAACTTAAAGATATTCCAGTGTTGAATAAATTGCATATGCCCTTGTGGTCAGAACGGGAAAGGAACAGCGGGCTCTACTCAAGGTGGCTCAGCTAGAAGTTGCGTTAGATAACCAATAGGTGTCTCTCTTTCCCTCTAAACCAGAAATCCCGATTTGCATGCACTTGTACTGTAACTTGCTATGGTGTGTATATTGTTGGACTAAAATCCATTAAACGCACCATTTTGTTAAATTACTTAAGCACATATATAAAACTGCACGTCTCACTCGCAGTGTGCTGTCGGTCTACTTAGTGTCAGTGTATGCACTTTTCCAGCAACCTTCAAATCGAGTGGAGTTTAATTTAAACGCCCAAGATATAGAGCAGATTCAAAGGGGCAAAGGCGATACAGCCCAGTTGATAAAAGGGAATTCTACGAATAGAGGCTATTACTAATTATTTTACAATAATGCTTATGTTTGCATCTGCAAAAGATAAACTTTTATTTTATTGGTACATCGTTTTCAAAAACATTTGACAAAGATTTCAAAATGTGGTCGCATAGCCATCAAAACTGCAGAAGGACAAACGGTAGTACTGGACCTGCAACCCCCAGATTTATTCTCGATTAAAGAACTTATTTGTTTGAAGAGAATAAATCTGCGCAATATAATATTGTAGCGAATGAATCCGTTATAATATATACAGCTAAATGAAAGGCAACTACACTATAAATATTAAAAACAAATCTTATTCCTCGGAATAGTGATCATGGAGAACCGTTTCAGTTTTAGACAGCTATTTTGTCTGCACTGTGCAAGATATGTCGAGAATCCATTACATTGCAGTCGGTATTATTATTATGGGAATGCAGATTGTATCATTACTGCGGGACTTTCAGGAGCATAGTGGCATAACGCAATATGATGTCTATTTCATTGCAAAGTGTTCATCGGTCTCCATCCGTGTGTGTGTGTCGCTGCCTGCATCCTGCCACCGGTCTGCACAGAGCCTGTGACGTCGGTGAAGTGAAGATCGCACGAAAATGACTTCGTGCGCCGTACTTATAGTATACAGGTTCAGATAGAAGTCCGTAGGGGATGAAGCAAGCACAGAACAGTTTGGGGCATAATTGCAGACGTTAAAATGCGTCGAAACATTTCAGGATGATGAAGGCCGTTTTTATATAAACCCCAAGACAAAGTGAAATAACGTCAGACGACATGTCAGGCTTGATCAGCCCGCTGGACAGAACAGTCGACCGGTGACATCACTGTAAGATGCAGAAGTGAAAGTGAAGAATGGTGGCGAAAAGTCCGCATATGTAAATCCTGCGCATCTTGCTGTACCTACAGAAGTCAGGAGGCTGTGCAGCGCACACGCCGGAAGACATCTGCTGCAGACACATTTGCATTCGTCGAAAACGGTTTTTGCTACATTTCAGCAGCGAATTACTCGCGGAAATTCCGCATTTTGGTTATTACAATCCACCGGTGTACCTGAACCGGAGAAGACAAGCAGTGTTACAGAATACTAAGGTAATCTTTTGTCATCATTCGGGACAGATGTTTGATTTACGCTGATTGCAGTGACAGGTGACGCTTTTAAAATACTTTAAAATACTAAAAAGAAAAAGAGATATCATAACATCATTCACATATTAAGTATAAATCTCTATACTGTACCTCGGTAAAATGCATGTAAAAGATTTAGTATTTGTAAAAACATATTTTACAATATTGTAAAATATATTTCAATGTTGAAAATATATTTCAATCTGTTTTGAAACACATAATTGTTTCTCAGTTTATGTGTTTGTTTCTTCAGTGTGACTAAATTAACAATTACAATATGTTACAGCACAACATAATTCTGAACTCGGGCATTATCAGAGCTGTGAACATTTTTAAACCAAAGTCAGTTAATTTAAACAATATACAGTATAGTGTAGCTGAGCGGTACTGGTAGTATACATGTTTGCAAAACCACATAATTTTCTATTTATAAATCACCAGTAATGCAGGTTTATGAAACAGTAAAAACACTTAAGCTTACAGAATTTATGTAGTAACCTAACCTATTAAAATGAAAAGGCACAACCCGTTTTGCACGTGTAACACCTTGGAGCTAATTCCATTGGTAACAAATTGTCATGATGTAGAGTTGGAACGTTGGGAGAAGTTGGAATCTATTCACTTCCCTATGCAACAGCACGTGGTTTGTACTCCTTAGCAAATCCGATTTTTAATTATTGGTTAATTGTAATAAATGTATAGAATACATTTTATTTTAATTGCTTAATGGTGTGCGTTTTATCATATTTACCAGTTCAATACGCACACATCTGTTGAATTTATTACGTGTTTTAGCGAGCAGCATTTGAAAAGACAATAAGCCATTATTCAAAAGAGTACAACCTGTGCAGCAATGTTTATAAATAGTTAAAGTCATATTAGAAGACTGATTTTGATATGCATCCAAGCAAATAATCCATTATGAGAATACATCTATTAAGCAGCAGTACTGTAGCTGTATAACTGACAATCATTCATCTACCCAAAGAACACTTCTTTTATAAGCCTCATACATTTATGATTGTTACCATTTTCCAAGGAAGTTTTAATGCTTGTGTTTGATCTTAATGAAATCAGTGCAGGTCATATTTAAAACATTTAAACTCTAATAATGCAAAGAAAAAAAGGCAGAACAAAAAAGGCTGGGATTAAAGATTATGGCACATATGACCCAGATTCTGTATCAACAAGGCCAAAGCCTGCAGGCACCCTGACACCACAGACAGATCCAGAGTTGTTGCTAAGAGACAGTACTGTGGGTCGCACAAAGGCTTCCTTTATTTATTTTTGTACCTAGGTGATCAATATTGATCAAGAACAACATTAAATGAAAGCTTTAATTGAAATATGTCTGAGAAGATGGAAACAACATTCAACATTCTAGCTAATTCACAGTTTTTGCCAATTTCATTTACTCTGCATACAACATTGAGATTGATAAAGTATTGAAGGTAATGTAGGATTAGGCAATGTTATCAGAAACATTTAACTCCAGGATTGGCTTCGTACAGTATAGACATGCCTTGTTAAAGTTTACAACTTCAGGTGAAAAAATGAAATTGCTTAATAATCTTACGTTTGCTACTGTTTCTTAAAGGTAAATTAGAAAAAAATATTTAAAAAATGTACATTTACATTTGTAGAATTAAACAAAAATCATGATTTTGATATGTGTTTTGTATGTCTGTAGAAGAAAAAATGACAGACAACACAGAGGCCTCCTTACCCACATGGACTGAATCGGCCATTAAATGCAGAGGTGTCTGTCGATCTTATGGGAAGTTAAAAGTAATAAACAACCTTCATCTGACTGTACCACAGGGACATATGTAAGTGCTCCTTTCCCTGATATGAATGTGTCTGAAACAGTTTTGTATGAGCTTGTTTTCCCACAACTAACAGCTGAATCAACAGACTCTGTGTAAAAGCAAGAAAAGTTATTTGTAGTATGGTAGCATACAGGATTCTGTACATTTGAAATTGCCTATAACTAGAGTAAAGATCATGTTTTGCAAAAAAATACCAGCACCAGGAAGATAAGGTTTTAGATTTTCCTGCAGAGCAGTAGTTTTATGAATGCAATCATCTTTCAGCTTAAAAGATCTGCTTAAACTGAAGTGTCTCAACACACCACGTATATCTAGAACAGGGATCCCCAACTCTGTTCCTCAAGAGGGGGTCTCAGTCCAGAGAAGAGCAACCAGATATACCCTGGGGTTTAAGGGACGTAGCTAGACTGACGGCCTGAATGTCACGGACGTCCAAAGGGACTAACCGTGGGGAGGAGCAGAGCGGAAAAAGACCCATATGCGTAGCGGCGAGACGGGAAAAAGGCCCGGGCTCATTAGTGCAAAGAGTTCAGGAATGCCGTAAAGAAACCTATGCCCTCAGGGAGGAGACGTGGGGCGCCCTGGTGCTAGGCGGGTCTCAGGACATCCGAACCACAATGCTGAGCCAGGACAGAGTGCA